GCCCAAGATCATAACGGCTTCCGCCATTGTAGTTTTCGACGGTCGATTTCGTAAGCGAGGGGGTTACGTCTCTATGAGATCGGGCCGAATAAGTGAGCGGTTATTAGGTTCCGTTGCATGCTGTAGACCGGTTCCAAGGCCGTAGGTGGCAGGTCAGGATGCCCTCGAGAGAGATCGTTCTATGTCCAAGGTATATGATGTCTTGGTAAAGCTTGCAATCTCCTTGTAAGCGTATATTACGTTGGTAGCTTCTTGGTACATTAGGATGGTACCTGTCTGACTCTGCAGTTGATTATACGCCACTTCATGTTTTTTTTACCATGAGGCCGATCATTAAAAGCCCATAAACTTACAGTATTCCTCAATTACATGTCACCTTGCCTTGCACCATCCACTGGTGACAGGCAAACCCTCACCCCTAATCCAAGATCTGGAGAGGTCGTTCTATGTCCAAGATATATGATGTCTTGGTAAAGCTTGCGATCTCCTTGGATGTACCTGTAAGCGCATATTACGTTAGTAGCTTCCAGTTTCCTCTCCAGTTGTGCATGCTATTCTCCATTATCAGGCTGGGTGTACGTTGATTTGTTAGCAGCTTGCGGTTGGAATTTTAACATAAGAGTTCAAACGTGCAACGTTTTTACTGATTATGTTTTAGCACGTGTTCGTCACCTTACTTCTTGGCATTCGTTTGGTGCTTGTAATGCAGATCGTGCGTTTGTCCTTGTTTGTTTTCCCCGCCGTTTGCAGTGGACTGGAGTCGTTGGTCACCACTTGAAGAAGTTTAAGCATTGCTAGAGGGCCGTCTGATCGGTGGCAGAGATGCTCACCGACAGTCATTGTTGACTGTCATCCGGCTGTCATCTGGCTGTCATCCGGCTGTAGTCTGGCTGCCGCAGCCATCAGAAACTATAACAATATAATGTAACGAACACCTGCTGCAGCGTAGTGTTTGAGATAAAAAGGAACAGTTTTCAAGCATGAAGGATAACCCTACATGGTTTCGAGACTACGCGTCTTTTTTTCACCATGTTTGTACGTCATGCGACTAGACTTGGTTGCCAGATTACTACTTTTGTTCGCGTAACGACTAACGCCGTTAGCGCATGCGACTTTCGACCGGCTTCAAGTACTTGAAATACCACCTCCGCCGCCACATAATGCGCCTGCCTCACTTCATCACGGAACGAGCCAGGAGCGAAACTTTCTAAGCCTCACGCTGTGTCGACGACCTCTGCACGGTTTCACCGCCGCGCCGCTGGAATGAAAAACCATGACTCGGCCGAGGCCGCAAGGCGGCGGCATATTTGGGGCGGTCATTACGCGGTCTCGAGTGACGGCAGATTGCGCTTGTGACTTCGGGAAATGGGTGGGTCGCGAGGCTATCCCGCCGCACTGCTGGCGCCTCGCAGTTCACGCCACCGAGCTCGGATATTTCGGGAACAAAAGTAGCGCGGATGGTTCCTGCGTGGGTTCGGTGGGCCGGGCAGGGTTGTCTCTCTAGCCCACTTATCGGCGGGCCTGCTTTGGATTCACGTTCCTTCACCTATCATCATGAGTTACATTATCAGACAGATACAGATGAGGAATGTCGGGGTGTCGTCGGGTTTTCATAGCTAGTTTCACTGCCGAATGATTTATATTTGTGATATAAGACCGTCTAACCCTGTCATTGGAAAGCGCTTGTTAACTGCCACCATTCCGGTTATAAACCTGAAATGAATTGTAATTATGGAAACGACACAGACGTGTCATCTCCTATCCCAGCCCAACTTTTATACAACTGAAACCTATACAGCCACCCAAAAAGCAACACTTGGGCAATAGCATCGAACTGAGGCGGTAGTCTGTATACAAACCATTCACATGCGTTTTATTGGCTCGCCCAAAACAGAGACAAGTAACACAACTCACACGACGCCATACGATTCATTCATTGGCTTTCCCAAATACGAATAGTAACCGTATTGGCCAAACTCTTGTAACTACATCGTGCCACACCGCGCTCGCAGCGAAACACGCGGCAACGGAAAAGCAATCAACACTAATGCCTGGTCTCTTCCTGGAATGCACACCTCTCGACTTCCATGCGTTATCGTCACTTCCAAACGCTTGGTTTAATGCCTGACGGTCATTGGGTCCGTCACCGCACAGCCACAATTTCCGGCCCGACTCAAATGTGGCGCAGCGGTGTCGTTTCTCGGCACGGGTCGGACGTCCCGCTGTTTTGACGGCTTCCTTGTACAATCACCCTCGCGTTCGACCTCCTGACCCGGCCGGCCGCGGGGCACGAGCTGGCGGCGCTGTCTGCCGCGGGGCACGACCTCCTGACCCGGCCGGCCGCGGGGCATGACCTCACGAGGCGGCTTGCCAGTGGCCGCCGCCCGACACGCCCCGCCGGAAGTCAGGCCGAGCCTCCTCCAGCTGCTCCTCCGGGGTCGGGGTGAACTGATCAAGAAACCTGGCGGTCCAGATCAGATGTAATACGGGCAGAGCTGGGATAACGCGGGATAGCACAGCCAGAAAATTGATCACTTTTGAATGGGAACCGCACAGAACAGCAAAAACAAGCGTCGCCGGCATGTTTTTTGTCCATGGCTTTGCCTTATTTTCGGCACAAAAAACAAACTGGAAAACGAGCCATAGTAACACTACGCCAGAAGCGAAGAAACACAAGAAAACTGGGAGGCAGGTTGTTCAGTGCATTTGCGAGGAACGTTATTCATGTAGATGAGACAGTAGTAACAGCCTCATTCATCGCAGAAAAACCAGGCGAATGGAATTACACATGAATTGATATTTCGGCAACATGCCTTTATCGGAACGTTAGCAGAAGTGAATTAAAAATGACCTGCCGATGATCCTACTCGATTTTTGAGTTGTTTTTTTGGAAACAGAAAGCCACAGTTTTATAGGACAGCAACATCCAGGGGACTAAACAAGGAGCGATTGCCAGCCATTGCCACGATACAGCGCATGTCTAAAGATTAGAATATGCGAAGATACATGTACATGCAAACGAATTCAAGCAAATAGGCATCACGCATCACGCCTCATTTAAACATGCAAGCGAGCTGAGGTAAACAGGCATCGCACATCACGCGTCAATTATACATGCAAACGATTTCAATTGAACAGGCATCGTACATCACGCGTGAGGCATTGCCCATACATGTTAACGGTTTTAAGGTAGCACGCAACACGTATATAACATGACGTATATAACGTTCGTATAATCGGCCATGATGATTACATTACTGCACGTTAATATTTGATCGCCAACTTTTTATAAGAAGAGATTCACTTATTTTCCTTTCTGGGTGGTCCTATGTTCTGTAGATGACTTTAAGCTCTAAAAGGGGCATAGGGATCCATACTTCCCTTAATTTCAGCCTGAGCCTGTTTTACCAAAAATAATGGTCAACGAAAGAAGTGTTCCCTGTTTTATTTTTAACGTCTCGCAGGCGTTCATTATATCTCAAATGAAACGGCGCGTGTGGACTCCTCAACACAGACTATGTCCGTCCCAAGTTTTTCGCACGGTCTACACTTGATTTCATAAACCACATTTTTGCGTGCAAACCCCTTAAAACCCAGACTCGCATAAATGATATCTACTGCCGCCGGGGCACTCAGGCCTTGAGATGGCGGATTTCACCAGATACTTTTTTAGCTTATTGTCGTTCTTTTAAGCTATATGCGCGCGCTGTTTTGATTTTTTAACGATGCGTTTTATTTTCTGGAGAAAGGGCTCATCTATGTAAGGTAACGTTAAGAATCGTGAGGTGTTAACCTCTGACAAGCAGCGGGTACGCTGTGCCCCATCAATCCCCCTCCCCCTGTTGCTACGTCTACGATCTTGACATAATTTCCCCGAGATGGCTTATTACTACTAAGACGAACCAAACAGAAGTCACTCAAGTTAGCTAGCGGTGCTTTGCCTTTTTTGACCATTTCTTAAGCTCAGACATAATGCTGTTGTACTGTTAAAACCCTCAAGAATGCAGGCAATAAATACATCTTGCTTACTAGAAGCAGGATGCATTTATAGCGTAGATAAATAACGTACCACTAGAACACAGTCACCATGCCAGCAAACATAGTGCTTTCAAAGCATAATGCACGTTATCACGCCGCAGAATGGCACACACTACAGCTCACGAGAATGGCTTGGATGCTCCTTTGAGTTCGCATATGACGTTTGTGAGCGCCATGATGTAGGTTCCGGGCCAGGGTCAGGGTTGTCGATCTTCGACAGTCTCCGCTCGGCAACCGCGGACCGGAGGTATCACCTCCCGAAGGCTCTGGAGCACGCATTTCGCAAACACACACTGACCCCCGAATTTGGCAAACATGGAACAGATGACATTTCCAGCAGCCATAAGATGCCAATGCGGCGAGAACCCTCAATGAACACTACGGAACCATCACGAAAAACGGGTGGGCGCAGGAACGCGATAGGAAATGCACGTAATCTACGTGATATATACACGAAATCATCTGTCCGACAGTCCAGCCAACAGATGAATTTGAGGGTGCTTGACTACATAAACAGCTGCTTACTAATCAAATACGCAAATGATCTCACAAACATCCTTGACGCGGCCGCGTTACTTGCCACGGCCAATCAACGTCCCGTATTCAAGAGCGAATCCTCACCACGAATGCGTCGTTGAGTCCATGCATGCGCATTCGTTCCCGCTCGTTGCTCTCCAAGCGCCTCGAGGTCCTGCCCCTGCGGGGTCCGACCGTTCCAACGACGAGGGGAGGACAGTGGCGCCATCCTCGACGCCGCGCCTGCCCTCTGTTGACGGCGGTGCAAGCTGTAGTCGCTGCAGGTGCTGCCATCTGAGTCTCCCACATTCGGGGAGTACGCACGGCCTGGTGAACAACGCGACGTCAGGATGAGCCCTACAATACTATGGGGATTATGTACACATACTGAACAAGGTGGGCTGTGTGCATAAACACTTTTTGAATGACCTTTGACAGACTTCGCCATGGAGTACACAGGTAACAGGTTTCGAAATTTAATTTAAAGACGCGTGGGTAGTCGCGGCATGTTTTCCGGCTTGGCTGGACAGCAGTTTCTGCTGTTCATACATGCTTGAGAGGTTTTAGAGTGCAATAAGCATCAAAGAACTTTGAAGGTTAGTCAAACGATCAGGAGGGCCTCGTTCCATTGTGTCGTTCGCACGTGGGCTATCTTTTACGCGATGCGCCGGGTTTCGAAGTGGCATGGATTCGATTCGCCCAAATTACGATTGGCTTGTTAAAACACGTTCGGGTGGGGATAGGCTGGTCAAGTTGAGCCCCGTGGATTTTTCCAGAATGGTTTCCGAACTGTGCGACGTTATTACGCCAAATATTGAAAAGTTGTAAAGAACTGAATAGGGAATCTTTTGGTATACAAATTCAAATGAGACTTGTAAGGTCGCTGACCTATGACAGGTCAGTCAGGTCATGGCCGTCAGCGAGGGGCATTTCTAGGAAATCGTTTAGCGTAATGCAATAATGAGCTGTTAGCGTAGCCATTAATGTCTGAGATGGTTTCTTAGGTGATAAACCATTTGAATTTAGAATTGCAATAAATCCCACTGACATAGGTTAGCTATGGGGATTAGAACGAGGTGGAAACTAGCTTACTTTCTACTCGAGAAGTGAATCTGATGGGGTGATTTCTGGTGCTCATTTCGAATTAAGGAATGATAGGGATCGCAACAGACATGCTTCATAAGTTTTTTTTAGGTCAGAGAAGGTCACTGATCTAAAATGACCAGGAGTCAACGTTTTTGTTTTTGGCAGATACCATCCAATGTTATCCCTGACGCCTATTCTTATGGCAAATGGGAGCAGCCTCTGAGGTATTTTGTTACCTTGACTTAAACAAAATCGTAAGAGGCCACTGACCTCATTTACCTTTTTGATTAGAACAGGTATCTAGCTTCACGTTGGGTTGTATGAGAGTACTTGAGTTCTTGTGGGCCTTTGGACCTAAACCGTGAGTTTGGTCCTGTTTGGCATTATCCTTTTCCAAGGTCATGATCTAGATTATCCAAATTGGGACGTCAGCTTATTCATGTGCAGTTAAATGCACCCTGTGAAATTGGTGTTTCTGCGCTATTAAGCTTTTGAGATGTCAGGTGAGGTCAAATTGACCCCCCCCCCCCCTTCCAGCGAAGCGAAGGAAGGGTATTCAGCGGGCCACTTGGATGCGTGTTTAAGGACAGACGCCAAGCATCCGTTGACAGCCTGCTGTACATTGTATATAATGATGCCAATCGTGGAAAACATACTATGCGGGATGGATTTATAGATTCGACACAACCAATATAAAACAATTACACTGTAGCTCGGTCGCATCCTAGTAGCTATCACACAAGACTAACTTCGCTAGCGTCTCAAAACAACTAACCCTTGGTAACTTTTTAGTAGGTACTACTCTACCGGAATGGCAGAGCTTAGCATCAAGCGGCAGGATGCATAGTCTTACCACCGCGTCATAGTCCCTACCCGCCGCACGAGCCCGAATCGTGCTCACCACGTGACATCCTTGCTCGGCACCTGCGTTAATGAAGGGTGCCACAGCAGCGTCGACACACCACAGGTAATACGGATGGGGAAATATCGCCAAAATCCTTTTTCGGATATTCCAACAGTATGCATATGATTTTGGTGAAACGAGATGTGATAGTAAACGTGAAAAAGAAGGCCTGAAAATCATCAACGTCCCTTCCAAATGTTGAATGTGGTGGTGCTAATGTTTGCCGACACTCCTCATTCTACTTGGGCCTTTCGCATCAATCTCTCAGACACTCCAGAAGAGGTAAACCAAGCTCAACAAAATCCAAAACTGCAGCCAAAAAAAAAAGTCCCAAAAAGAAGTGGGAGCTGCATGGTATGCATTAGGCAGTTTGAATGACGGACACTTCGAGCGCGCACGCTTTTAAATCAGCCTTAAAAGCACGTGGGTCGGAAAGTACCCAGGTCTGCCCATGTATCGATTCAATGAAGAAAATAAATTGGAAAAAATGGGCTGTTTCCAATTATCAACTGAAAGGGTGCAATTTACATGCATTAATTAGTTTGTAATTAAGCCTGCCCGGTGACTGCTATGGCAGTCTGCAGCAACATCATGCTGCCAGGAACACAGGCACGTGCGCTGTCTAGTTTTCCCGTTAAAGAGACGTGCGCTGCCTGCTTTTTCCCTACAAAGGCGTGCGCTGACCATTTTTCCCCTACAGAGGCGTGCGCTGACAGTTTTCCACTACAGAGACGATATTTTTCTATTTTTTTTTTCGTTGTTGAAAAACCTGAACCCAATTTCACTAGTTTTCCCCCACAGAGATTGTGCTGTCTAGTTTTCCCTAGAGAGACTGTGCTGTTTAGTTTTCTCCTTCAGAGACTGTACTGTCTAGTTTTTTCCTACAAAGGCGTGACCCGATTCGCTTTCAATAAACGCATGCCACTTGTCGACAATATTACGCCAACTTTTCCTGCATCTGCACTTCCAACCTACACTTTTGTGGTTTATGCTTACACTTCGGTTCTGTAGTTTTTGCCTGCATTATGGTTCTATATGCATGAACTACATGTCTGTAGTTTCTACTGGAACTACGGTTCTGTAGATCTGTTTTGTCTGAACTATAGTTTCGTAATTGCACCGTTGGCGCAATTGTGTCATTCAGTTAGAAAGCTTGTTGGGGGAAAAGGTCGCTTAAAAACCTATATCTACCCAGAGCAGCAAAATGGTGTGTTGTACGGTGAAGGACAGGCCCGCCACCTAGCGGCGGTAGTGTAAAGCTGATCGGTTCCGGCATAATTCATCAGAAGCAAAGCAGATGGGTACAATTGCATTCCATTCAACAGGCCAACATGCTGCAAACCCCAGATATCGATGGCGGTAAGCCAAAATTCCTTCAGCTCCCGCTAAGCTTATCAGGACCACAGAGGTGTACTTAACGCGTGTTTAGCGCACATGCCTGGTTCATTATCGGCATCATTGCAGCTCATGAGCGATAGAGGATATCAAAACACATTTTATATCGGCTCGTTTACACATGAAGCGAGCTCTTTAACGTTAAGTCCCGGTATTTTTATTGAAGGGATTTAAGGGCTCAGCGCCCACGCTAAGCCATGCTTGTTGCGTGAGCCATGACCAGCCATCCGACCGTGGAAAACGGGTCAACAGCAGAATTTTGCGGCAAAAGCTTAGCGTGCTGCATGCTGGGTACGATCCGTTCTGCCCTCTGACGTCACGCGACCTTTAGTGCGGCCGCTGTCGCCTACCGCAAGCCATCCCAGTCAGGGGCAAATGGCGAGCGCCCAAACACACCCCGACACGGGTAGGTGGATTAGAAGGCATGAGCTCCAACTAACTGAAAGTATACGGAGGGGCATCGCCATCATGACACGGGTTCTGAACTAAAAAACAGCTCGGAACCCTTCCGGGTATTGTCAACAAAATACGTCTTTACAAAGCGGTCTAATGTTATCTGCAATTTGCTCTCTGAACAACTTGACAGGATCCAGCTTGGCTCCTTTTTCACTATCTGCACCAGCCGAAGGATAAAGTCGCTCAACCACCTTTGACACATCTCATTTGTTTAGGGTAAGTAACTTTAAAATTCGCCATCCAGTCGCCTTCCGTCCTCTTACAACTTTCGGAGCTTACTGTTCACACTTCCGTCACTTTCTGAACTTATATGCAGCCTTAAACCTTTTCCTGTTAAGCCCCATGCCCTACAAACACTCAGTCCCTAATATAGGTCCACAGCGATCCTGCACTGAACATGAAGTGGCGATGTGCAATAACTTAGCTACTATGTAGTGCGTGCGTGCGTGCGTGTGCGGCGTGCGTGCGTGCGTGCGTGCGTGCGTGCGTGCGTGCGGCGTGCGTGCGTGAGTGCGGTGCGTGCGTGGTGCGTGAGTGCGTGCGTGCGGGTGCGTGCGTGCGTGCGGTGCGTGCGTGCGTGCGTGCGTGCGTGCGGCGTGAGTGCGTGCGTGCGTGCGTGCGTGCGTGCGTGCGTGCGTGCGTGTGTGTGGGTGGTGTGGGGTGTGTGTGTGTGTGGTGTGTGTGTGTGTGTGGTGTGTGGGTGGGTGTGTGTGTGTGTGTGTGGTGGGTGGGTGTGTGTGTGTGTGGGTGGTGGTGTGTGTGGTGGTGTGTGGGTGGGTGTGTGTGTGTGTGTGTGTGGTGTGTGTGTGTGGTGTTGTGTGTGTGGTGGTGTGTGTGGTGTGTGTGTGTGTGTGTGTTGTGTGGGGGTGGGTGTGGTGTTGTGTGTGGGTGTGGTGTGTGTGTGTGTGTGTGTGTGTGTGTGTGTGTGGGTGTGTGGGTGTGTGTGTGTGGGTGGTGTGTGTGTGTGTGTGTTGTGGTGTGGGTGTGTGTGTGTGTGTGTGTGTGTGTGTGTGTTTGGTGTGTGGTGTGTGTGTTGTGTGTGCGCGCGAGCGCGCGCGCGCGCGCCGGCGCGCGTCGATATTGTACAGTGATTAACCATGGTAGAAGCACGATGCTTCATTTTATGCCCGAAGTTTTCTTGTCACTATGTTTCCAATCGCTTGCCATTATACCTACACACAATGAGCAGCAATCGATCGAAGGTTTTGCCAGCTATCTCGGGACTCAATCTGATACGGTGCCGGTATGCCTCACCAAATTGAGCTGATTCCGCTTCATTCGACATCGTCGCGCAGCTTTTTTTTAAAAAAAAATATTCTGAATGGTTTGCATGGGTGACTTGGGGTTCAGAGCACCTGCTAAGCATGCGGTTGTTGCAGATGTCTGAACCCATCACCCAAGTGGTACCGTCCAGTTTCAACGGATAATTTTTGCTCCGCCCTGCGCCAGACAGGAATGTGGAGTGCTTTACGTGCCGCGCAATGCTGCGACACTGCGGCACCGGGCCTGGGTTGACCCTTGCTGGCAAGTGCCATGATGTTTCCATTTCAGTCGGGCCAAACAATGCGCCTGCTCGGGACTTGAAACCCAGCGCCGCTGGATTAGAGCGCAGCATTTTCCCTAGACCGCGGAGGCGGCAAAAGCTTGGCAGAAACTTCAGAATAAATTTTTGTCTAGGGAACTTACAAACCACAGGTCTATTATCAACCTTATCAGTTGCCAAATAAGGCTTTCCGAGGGATGGAGCCTAAAGATAATGCCAAAAGACAATGCTGAGATAAACAGAGGTGCCTGCTTTGTTTCCGAGCAGTGACATGAAGCTGGAAGGCTGCTTTCTTTTTATCAAGTGATAATCATCTGACGACGGCGGCGCTCATGACGATGGTGGCGCTTTCCGTTACAGTGATGCCAAGTCAGTCATCACATGCGAGGCATCAGATCTCAACAGTCTTAGTTGCATCCTCTGCAGCCCCCACCACGGCGAAAACGGCTTGCTCATTCAGGACGTGTCCAAAACAACGCCATGCTGTTCACCCGCATAACGCTTTAGTGAAAGTTTTACGAGACCACATCGCCCTCTGCGGCACGAAAGCGCGGTGCTGTCAAGATGACACGGCTCATTTCATTCACTTTTTCAACATCTCAATGTACGTTTTAAGAGACCACATCGCCCTCCGCGGCACGAGAGCGCGGCACTGTCAAGATGGCACGGCTTATTTGATTCACTTTTTCCACACTGGCGCGTCTCGGATCTCCAGGCATGTTACATCATTTTGAGGTCCCAACCACTAGCGTTAAGATGACCACAAGACCCCGTTGTGTAACGT